ATATTCTTCGATATGCCCAGGTAAAAAGACCAATGATTCCGTTGTCAATGATATTAAATGTATGAAGTACATCCCCAACGGGAAAATTTAAGTGAAGTTAGACTACGATAGTGACTATATTGATCTGCCTGTAAGACCAAAGATTTTGGACCCAATAAATGACTACCCACAACTTTTAAAAAGCCAATTAAAAGAAAAAAATGAAACCAGCTTTAGGATCTTAAATCGGTGTTACTAAAAGATACGCATTCATTTTACAACAATCTGCTTTTTGATTAGTTTCTAACATTAATTACTATTATTGTAGTACTTAAACTTACACTAATATTATTAGTTTTTTTTTGCCAGGTCGCCCGCGATATGTCATAAATTACGAGTGACCACTTTCCTTAGAAAAAATAACTACGCCTTTCGCTTATACCGCAACAGGTATTGAATTTCTAAAACCGTAGTTAATTAGGCAAAACAAAATTACCCATTGATAGTTTCTACTGCTCTGATTGTAATAAAATACGTCGCAAAACGGTATATGTCAAAAAAATATCTGTTGTGACGTATTTATAAAGAAACACTGTCAGAAATGTATGTCTTATTTTTGAATATTTTTACTTTAACTAAATATTTAGCGCTATTTAATTAGCAATTTAATCTTCGGGTTTTCTGTGAACAACAAGCTTCAACAACATATGGGCTATAGGCTACCGCAGTAGTCGATTCTTTAGTTTGCGGTCTAACTTGGGTTTGATCCGTTGTCGGGAAGTTGGAATAGCGTTGGTTGTTGAGTGGAAACCCTTCTAATCATCTAGAATCAGGCCGTTTCCCAGAGGGTAACTGGAGAATTACCGTGTTCGTAAAAGAAATGTTAGTGAATGCCAATTAAGTAAATAAAGCGTTAATTTACCAAGATATTTATGGAGTTAAGAGGTATTGTGAATTGCATTGCTTACAAATATAATCGAAATATGTTAATTCCCAGCATTTGGTTTTATTTATTTTTTTTACATAAAAAATTAAGAAATAAACCATAATCCTGTCGAAGTTTTTTTCAAAATAAAAACGGTTCAACCAAAAAAGGTTAGAAGAGCAATCATTGTGTTTTAAATTTACTTATTTTACCTGATCAGTTAGTATATGGTACGTACCCTGATCCCTAATTTAAGAAATAATTTAGTTATACAGTATCGGCTATCAAACATTTTCAAATGGGCCTTTACAAAAGTGCGTTTGAAATTAGCATAAGGGTGAGCAAGAAAGGTAAAATATCGATGCCAGTTTATACTTATCGACCAAAAATAGAACGCGCTCGTACCGTATGAAAAGTTGATATTATTTGTTTTCTGCTCACTTACATTTGTGCAGCAACGCGTATTGTATTGGAAAATGTTAAAAAGTAAATTTAAATGCCTTACCTCAATTCCCTTAATATTTCTATATAGTATGTCTGACTCAGCTCCTTCCAGACCAACAACAGGTACACTTTACCTGCTACAGAGTGTAGTAATTCGTATACCAATTTACTAATTCACTTCAGAATGTCACCATACTCAAAGAAGTAAATATTCCCTTTATTTAAGAAGCCAAATACCTAGGTGTTATCTTTAACCACAGGTAAGCATGGAATCAACACTTTTAAAAAGTTTACCCAAAAAAGCACAACATACGTCGAAGGGTTGTGTGGAAAAAATTGGGAAATACCATCTTAAATGTCCCTATGACTGTATAACAGAGTCATAAGGCCTAATATAACCTACGGGTCGATGATAGATGACGAAAGACTTGGAAAGCTGGAAATATATGACAGTTCAACGATAATAAAAGGCAAGCATGTTTGAATGCCTCGGAAGCCATTAGAACAATCACAACAGCTGCCCTAAAAGACATGATAGATAATACCACTTCGTATAGACAAAGCCAGGTCTGTCACATACAGACCTCACAAAGGTCCATCGGCCATAAGTAGTTTGCATTAACGTGACTACAGCTATCTATATAAATCTATATAAAGAGTTGGAGAACGACCAAATAATGGTAGTGCCTCCAGATGAAATGCTCCCATATTGTTACTTTCAAAAGCAATATAAAGTAAGTATATAAGATAAAGAAGCGTGGATGGTAAGACCTCCTATTTACGCAGAATTCACCTGAAATACAGATGGCTTTAAAACTCATGAAAGTTCAGTAGGTGTATATATGACCAAGTCAGAAAAAGAATCTCACTGAACATGGGTAAACATACGATAGTAAGCTTGGCAGAAATAGCAGTAATATCTCACTGCACGAAAGAGCTATTAAGATACAGGTTAAACGAAACAAACATTGTCATGTACTCAGACTGTCAAGCGACGTTAAAAGCACTCAGTTCGATGCAGGTACCCTTGAACCTTATGTGGAACTATTTATGACAAAAACAGCTACCAGAACATGCAAAAAGCAGTGGATGTTTAAAACATCTTAGGAATGGTAAAAAACTTCACTACTACTACTACTACTACTACTACTACTATTATTATGGAATAATAGGGACAATTCTACAGTACTTGTAAGCCTATTAGCAAGGCATTGTATGCTTAACAAATATATAGGTTATGACATTAGTCTAACAAAAGAGACCTTACGTCGATTCTTTCAGAGAGAGGAGGAAACTGCAGTACGTACTGTGCTACTGCGTAAATCTATCAAGACTAAGATTCCTTACACTTAGAAAAAAAAAAAGAAGAGCAACTAGCTACGCCGGAGAACGACTTCCTAGTACAAGGAGTCTACTGAAAAAGACCGAACTAGACAAGGTACTCTAAACAACATTAGTTAACTGTTAAGGGTATCTACAATAGATCTGTTAAAGCTGAGGAGGAGGAAGTCACATGTCTCACAGTTCTAATTACATTTAATTTAAGTACTTAACAAACGCCTCAAGTTTAAACAAAAAGTTTATAAATTCACAAATTTTATTTAGAATATCAATTTATAAATTGAACCCAATTATTTGCTTGCTTATTTGGAGAGTTCTATGATTGCGGATTTTATTTCCATTTGCCTATCTATCGATTTTAGTCCTTATTTTGATTTTACAATAATTTTTTCTTACATCTAGTTCCTACTAACCAAAATGTTTGTTGAATAGTAATCATTTGTAATTACTTAATTTTTTCCACATTTTTTTTTTTTAATATATTGTCATGATTCCATCATTGAACTGTTGGTGCTGTAACTTTGTTCGGTATTGTTGACGTCAGTTGGGTATTTAAAACGGACTATACTCTATATAACTTAAACGCAAGTAACGCTTAAACACAATAGCCCCTTGACCATAGCATGATACGCACACGCCTGTCTGCTATTGGCCAGCCTAGCGATACGGTTTTGAATGTTTCGGTACCCTCTAGCTCAATGTGTTGTGGTCAAGGAGCTATTGTGTTTAAGCATTACTTGCGTTTAAGTTGAATAGAGTATAGAGTATCTGACGTCAGTGGTGGCCAGATTTAAAAATATTTGTTTTGGAGAATTGTAATTGAGAAATATATGGATTGTTAGATTAATATTTTGGAAATGTTATTAGAAAAGTTATTTTGAAGATTTTATATTTGATGGGTATAGAGAAACTAAAATATAAGAATAAAAAGGTAAAGAAAGAATTTTATTTATTAAACGGAAACGAGACGCAGGAGACAAGGCAGGAGTTAGAGGAGATCAGCTAGAAGAGCAGGAGATATATACAAAGAAGGAGTGACGGCAAGAGTTTCAGCAGGACCTTCAGTAGGAATTTTACCAGGTGTTTCAGCAGGAGTTTCAACATGATATCCAGCAGGAGTTTTAGTAGGAGTTACAGCAAGAGATAGGAGACCAGAACTTATAGTAGGATAGAAGAAAAAGGCAGTTGGACTTGTGAGACAGAAGAGAAAGAGGCGAAGTGGAAGATTTTTTATTTTGAATTTAAAATTTTATTTTTTAAACTATTGTAGGAAGCCGTTGAAGCCACAACTGTAAGTACTCAAAAAATATTGTATTAGATCTGCCTTTTACAGTAGAAACAGGGACACATTTTATGCCTAACCGTCTTTGTAGACGATATGCACAATGACAAGGACGACCACGATAAGTTTGAGGGTATTGTTGGTAAAACACAATGGATTTATTAACTTAATTTTAAATTTACAATTAATTATTATTATTATTGCTTATCAAATGACAGTATAACAGTTTGCATAAATTGGAATTGTCGTTGATTAAAGTTAAATAACTTAAATGAATAGGTTGATGGAAGTTTTCCGTATTTGATTAAACATTTTTGTAACATTGACCCTTAATATAATTTCTATATTAATTATTTCATTCTGTTTTATTTATTTTAGTATAACGACAGCCTTATTATTTAAATATCAAATATCTCTCTCGTTTATACTAGCATTAACATAACCAAACATAAGTAACGTGTACGCTCTTACCCAGTTATAATGGGGCAAGAGCATAGCTACATCCTCTAAAAGTAATATACTTCAGTAATTACGTGCTGTATATTGCCTTTAGCTGTGGAAGTTTTGAAATTTTGAGATTTTATGTATTTTTAACTGCTCTTTTAGATTTTTTATTTTGCCACCTGTTAGCTTTGCCGCTGTCGCCGCCATATTGTAATATATTATGAAAAAAAGAGTTTTCTGAAGATATCTTGTTACTCGTTGATTTTATAGCAAAAATAACTTTATATTAAATTAAATTGTATAATTTTCTCTATAAATATTCTTATCATTTTATCTATAAAACCAGCCCATTTTGGAAAAAAGACTAAAGGAAGTCAATACTTTAGTGAAAAGTTATGACAGTTTCCACACGAGGTGGGGCATACCGCGCGTTTTTTCTGTTGGTTCCCCAGTAGGCTTAATCTACATATTGGTTTGCAAATGAACATTACACTATTTTTTTTAGCTTTGGTAACCCTGATGGACGGCCAGCTTCGTCTATATTTCTGCTAGTTGATGGGAACAACATTTTAGAGTCGTGAGGGATCACTGGCGCAGTAGATCTGTACTTTCTGCATCCGCAGTAAATTTCTCTATAGTTTCTGAATCAATTTCATTAAGTAGTGGTTCTAAAATTGTATCACTGTCTTCTTTTTTATCACTATCTTCCAAAACTTGAGGCATGTTATTACATTTATTGTCACAGTTTGAGCAAATTAAAGAACAGCTGAGCCCTACTTTTCTACACCCACATGTTCCCTGACATCCTTTTGTCAAGAAATTAGTCGAAGAAGAACTTCTGGAGCAGGATCTTGAAGTGCAGTCAAAGGAACAAGACCATTTTTGTTCTTCTTCCAACCCCATTGGTCTGCAGGTTTTTCGTTACCATTTCATTGTTGTACCTGATGACACGTAGGCTCAATAAATAAAATTCGTATTTCTTTGCAGGCTGCGTACTTGCCCAACTTTGTAATTCTGGTACGCGAAAACCTTTGGTTTTATGAAAAAAATTATACGGACCAAGTTTGCAGAAAAAATTATGTAGCTTAAATTACTACATAATCATTTTTACAGTAAAAGCAACGACAAACGAGATATCGTGAAATGTTTTCAGGTAAATTTACGTAGTCACTGGACCAATATTATAAAACGCAGAGCAAGAAATATTAAATTCTTGAGTTCAAATTTCAAATTTTTATGTTAAATCAGTCAATATTGAGAATACCTCAAAAGTAACTTATAAAATTTTGGTCTGCCTTGTGCAACGACGAAATCACGTCCTTCAAGAACCAATATTCGCACAACAAATCTCTACATTTCTGTATTTTTTTTTTAAATGCTGCCACATTTTCCCAACCCTTACTTTTTAGAAACTTCCTTGTGGTACATCCCTAAGTTATATTGTGCCATGCCGACCGAGCCGGTTTCGGGCTGGAGGGGCGATAGAGAGAAATGGAGAAAGGAAGCAGAACACTAAATTAAAATTTGCCACACAACCGCAAAACGTTTGTCGAACGAGGGTCGAAAAATAATAAAAATGAACGAGAATACCAGTCAGCCATTTATACACGGAAGGATGATTTTCAGATTTATCTTATGTTTGCCTTCATCTTCTTGCGGTACGGGTGGGTTACTTGGAAATAGAGTTAGAAAATGTGAAGATGGAGTAGTATTTCACGAATAGTTTGAAATTTTAAATACTGTCTAACTTAAATTACTAAACGAGATTTATATATAGATGGACAGATTTTGGTTTTAGGGTAAAAACAAAGATATCCCTCAATTGATTGCTGCTACTAGTTTCGTTGAAAATGCAAAATTTACTAACTTTACTACAGTAATTTTAGATTTTTACATTTATTTTAATAAATTTTTAAAGGTATCCGCTTTATATACATTGGTTTTGAGTCTCTGTCGATATTAATTAAACTTTTAACTATTAGAGGTCAAGATGAGCAATTTTCTTATAGACACAAATTTTGCAACTATACAGGATAGTCACTAGACACTGATTCAGTTAAATAAATAAAATTAATAATTCTAGTGACAGAAAATTGGCTTATTTCTTCTTTTTAATTAATTATTTAGTATACAGGGCGTAACAAAAAGGTAGGTCATAAATGGAACCACAACTTACCTCAATGCAAATGCACACATAAAAAAGTTACAGCTCTTGGAAAGTAGAAAATTTTCTTTTAATATTTTTTGAATTATTTAACATTTTGTAATTAAAATGAATAAATGATTTTCTTATCGCAAAAGCCTCTTTTTTGTATAAAACCACGAAGTCTGTACAGCCTATACATTTTCAGGTGAGATTTGTACCCCTAAAACCCTCCAAACTTTTTATGTGTTACATTTAAAGTATTGTGACACCATTGGCTTGTTCTTTCATTTTGTAAATTTTTTGCTTCCTAGCAGTTTTCCGCAAATCCAGTTTTTGTCGAGAGGCGGTTTCTTTTTCATTATCCAATTTTAAATAGCAATAAGTAAGTTATAACTAAGTATTCATGTTATTCGCAGGTATAAAAAATATGTACAAATGTATATTATTTAATATATGTTCAACTAATTTTTTGCAAGATCATTGGCTTTTGACGAAATCGATTTGCACTGTTAATGATTCGATGCCTTAGTTGTTGTTCATCAATTACTTCAATAGAATACATGTCCTCTTTCTTAAAAGCCCAGAAGCAAAAGTCAATAGGGTTAAGATCTGGACTTCTGGCTGGCCAAGAAATAGGTACAGCAGGGCCCCTTCCAATCCAACTTTGATAATAATAATAATAATAATAATAATTCTTTATTTTCCATAAGACAATAATTACAATTGTATAAGATTCGTCAATAAATATAAGGTTAAATCTAAATAAATACATAAAATAAAATTAAAAATACTAAATACAATCACGCTATAATTCTAAACAGATTAAAATACTAAAAATATAAAAAATCAGCTAAGGAATAAAAACATTTTTCCAGGAGATACATTTTCAAATTATTTTTAAACATATTAATATTTGCACATTTTTTTATTTTAATTGGGAGTTTATTAAACAATTTTGGACCCAGAAAATTTGGTGCGTTGGAACTAATGTGCAACCTTGAATAAGGAACGTGTACTTCATCAACTTGTCTTGTTTGATAACTATGAACATCTCTGTTAGTCATAAAACAACTTTTGTTTTTAAAGATGTACACGCAAATTTCAAAAATATACAAAGATGGAAGTGGGAGTATTCCATAGTTTTTAAAATATGGTTTACAGGACATGCTTTGTGAAATGTTAGCTATACATCGTATTATTCGCTTTTGTGCAGTGAAAACATTAGAAGCATCTGTAGAATTACCCCAGAGACATACTCCATATCTAAGTCGAGAGTCGACTTGAGCAAAGTAAACACTAACAAGTTGATGAGATTGCAGCACCTCTCGTAAATTAATAAAAAGATATTTTAGCGAATTCATTTTTCCTACAAGTTTACTGCAGTGATACTTCCAATTAAGAAATTCATCAATATGAATACCAAGAAAACGAACGCTTTCGCGTGTACTATCAATACTGGAATTACCCACATAAACGCTAAAATCATATAGAATATTCTGCCTGTTGTGAAACCTAATGAGGTCTGTTTTATTAGTGTTAAAAAACAAATCTAAACTATTAAAATGGTTAGAAATTTTTTGTAAAAGAGAAGAGCTTTTAACTTTTAACTCATCGCTGTTATTTGATGATACTATCACAGAAAAGTCGTGATGATTATTACCTATTAAATGATCTACACTGTTGACATATAAAATAAACAATATTGGCCCCAATATTGACCCTTGTGGTACTCCCATATGTGTATCTAAAAGATTAGAGTTAATTTCTTTAGTTTTTTTTATCTATTTTAAAGTTTAGAGATACATATTGTTGTCGTTCTTTAAGAAAGGTGGAGATCCATTTTAAAGAATTTCCTCTAATTCCATATGTCTCCAGTACAGATAATAATAATTCATGATTCACGCAGTCGAATGCCCTACTTAAATCACAGAATATCGCCACAGGACACTCAGCTGCTTCAATATGTTCAATAATCTGATTATAAAATGAGATCATAGCTGTTGTTGTTGACTTTTCTGCGCAAAATCCATGTTGATTTTTTGTGACAATTTGATGTCGTTTTAAAAATGATAAAAGGCGATCTAGAAATGCATATTCGAATATCTTAGATAATCCACAGGGGACTGGCACAGGCCTATAATTTTCCAATGACATCGAATCATTTTTTTTGTACAATGGCAACACTTTACCTGTAAGTAGTTTGGCAGGAAATGCACCGGATTTGAATGACAAGTTTACTAAATATGTCAGCGGGGCTAGAATATCCTCGAGTGACTTTTTTATAATATAACTGGGCACATCGTCTGCACCTGATGATTTTTTATTTTTTAATTTTTTATTTAATAAATTTAATAATTCAATTTCTGCAAATGGTATTAAGAACATTGATTTTTTATTAGAATATTTTCCAAAAGGTTTGTTTATTTTACTTGATAGGTCTATTTGATCAACTAATTTTAAAGGTGCGTTAATAAAAAAATTATTAAAGTCTGTTACTATCTCATGTGGGTTCTCTACCAATTTACCCTCTTTTTTAATAACAATATTATTCACTGACCTTTTCTTATTCGTCATTTCCGATACAACGTTCCACGACGCCTTGGCCGTATTGTCTGAGTTGATAATACGATTTTGATAATATTTCTTTTTTTTTGAGACCAATAAATTTGAATGAATTTTCTTATTCTCCCTATAAAATTCTTTAAAATTTTTATTTATCTTTTGTAATGCAAAGAGATCTTTTAATTTTGCACTAGATGCCAAAACTTCAGCATCTATCCATTTTTTATTATTATTTTTGAAATATGACTTCCGTTTGGGGAAACAAGAATTAAAATAAACTAAGAATTTATCATAAAAGTAATCAAATGCTTGGTTCAAATCTTGCATATGATATAGAGATGACCAATCCTCATTTAAAAGTGAAAATTTAAAAGCAGAAATATTGTTTTCGCTAAAATATCGTTTTAAAGAATGTTCTCCTGAATGTTTAATTATTTCAAATAAACTTGTTTCTAATAAAACTGATCGGTGATCGGATATATCGTTATCAATAACACAACAGGTAGCATCTTTTTCAAATGAACTTACAAATATTTGATCTATGATAGTACAGGAGCTCATAGTAACTCGCGTAGGCCATTTTACAATACGAACAAGATCATAGCAGATCATAGTATTGCATAACTGTTTAAAATGATAATTTGTAAAGCTATCAAAATTAAAATCGCCTGTTAAAATAAAATTTATATTAGGTTTATATAAATGATCAAAAACGTTTGATATTTGATTAAAAAATATTTCAATATTACCCGACGGTGACCTATAACAATTAATTATCAAATTATCTATTCCATTAAAATTAAAGCTAATAGCACAAATTTCGAAATGTTGTTCCAAGCAATATTTCTTCAAGTCAATTGGTTTCACACTACTACTATCTCTTGCCCAAATGCTTACTCCCCCGCATTTTAAAGTAGGTCGACAGTAAAAAGTTGTTAAACTAAAATTATTAATATGTAATAAACTAAGCAAATCTTCTTGAACCCCTATCTCATTTAAACATAAAATATTTAGATTTTTAAATAATAATAGAATATCACTCTCTAAAAAATTAATTTTCTTCGTGTTCAAAGTGTTGACATTAAGTAACAATAGTTGTGGCCTAAATTTTAAAACCTTTCCGGGACGTCCACTCGGCGTTTCGATAAAAAACGGCTAACACAAGCCCCAAAAGGCCAAATACTTGCATCCATCG